GACCAAACGACACCTATTCATAGTAACGATACTACTATCAGGGTCATTTCATCAAACGCAATGTATCACAATCAGTTTTCGGTTCAAAAGTTCAACCATGAGAAACCTATTTTTTCTGTATAACTGTCTCTGAGGTAAACATTTGTTTGCCAAGTCTTAAATCCTTGTAAGAAAACATTTAAAAAAACAATTTTAAAATAAAGATACCAATGAAAAAGGGATTATGTTATACATCATCAAACGTCAATACACTTACATATCTCACGGAATATCTCAATATCCATAATTCATTAGTATCGGACATTATCATCTATACAAATTAATCATCATTCTTAGCATTGAGGCGATTCTATGCGCGATCCCTCACGTCGGCTAATACAAATACAGTTAGCCTACTACATCAGACTAATGGCGGCTCGTGATTTCCTCTCACGTATGTTCTTTTATAATCACTTAAGGACGTCCCCCTCGTACAGGGAATGTCCTATGTTATTGTCATAAAAATACTTTACATTGACCGGCGTATATGTAAGGAACATTTGTGGACAGCTAAAGGTACACCAATTATGGTAACATAATTTCTCCGTGGTACCATGTTCAAGAGATGATTATGATTATTCCGGATGACAGAAGCGCTTCAACTATCAAGCGCCTTTGAGTAATTTACAAGAGGCGACATCTCTCCTCCTCTCGTGCTTCAGAAACCTCTCATTTGTAATTCCTGGAAGACGATCCTATGTAAGCAGGGGTCAATCACTTTATCCGTTGGCTGTAACTCTTTGCAGTGACCCTCCTTGACTGTGGAGCACGGCGATATTAACGTAGGGGAATAGAGTGTGATATTGGGTCTTACAAATCTTATTCTTACGCAGTTCTGACCAGAATAAATCTCACCGTTCGCGGTCCAGCTACGAAACCATGGCTTCATTCGGGAAACTGTTAACATTAGGTACTAGCTGAACGTACCGGCATTGGTCTGTTGCTATGGCAACCGACTTATTTTATTGAACAGCATATTAACAACGAAATATAAACCTTTCATCACGTGTTTTGTTTGTAATTTCATATCAGTACCCGTAGTCTAATATCAACTAAGGTAATACATGTATGCTATTGGACATGGAAAAAGATATATTGCTTGATTGTTTGAACAGAAGGGGTTTTCTGATTTTCGTTTTTGTCTTTCTGTTTTTTTAAGGGAAGGGGGGTGGAAGGGGAAGAAATTGAAAATTAATTCAACTTAACATTATGAAATTTCAAATAGTGTCCTAAAATTTGGATAACCCTGTTAACTGAGCGCTCGGCGAAAAATACAAACTGCCTACGTCAATGGTGGGCTGGCCATATCGCTTTACGAATGGCAGCAGCGTACCATTGATGAACAGGTCTAATGCTGTTTTGTGCCTATCGCGAACATGTCTGCTAAGAAAGATAAAATTGGAAAATCAATTAAGAGACCAAAAGAGGTCAAAACAGCCGAACTGACCACACTAATAAGGCAAACTCAACCAGCACAGCAGGTAGTCGAGCAGCTAACGACGGTCGATAACAGTTTATCTATCAATTAAGCCACCTATGGTCTACTTTATTTACAATATTGAGGAAATGCGTCTTGAAGTACTTTTGTTTACTATAATTGCCACACATACAATCCCTTTAACACTAACGATTCATTAAGGCTTTCCTGAATTTGACGGAAGACAATGCGATCAGTTCCAGACTTGGGGTTCCGGAAACGCCCATCTTTCCGGAGCATCTTGTTTCCCCTGATATTTTGAAGGATTACAACATATTTTTCATTTTGTTTTGGTAACTCCCCATTACGTATTGATGTGTTTTTTTTTATATCGACTCTGAGTTCGGATTTTATCCATGTTCGATAACGACGAGGTTAATTTGTTGACTATCTGACGTACTCGGAATTTTTTCTTAGCTTTTGCTGACAGCTAACTCAAATTATTCATGCCAAGCCAAGCCAAGCCAAGCCTTCCGAAGATAGCATGCCCTGTCCTTATTTACTTTAAGCAAATTGATTACACAGACTCCTGATGTGTTTTCTTTTTAACCAATCGTCAACTGAGTGATTAGACAAGAAATTCAATTCTTTCGAAGGTAGAGTTGACCTCATTAGAGCCACGCTCCCGGAACTTCTCGCCCCACACTACTTGACACATGATCAGTTTTTCTTATTGTTATCGAACTAACAATCTTCCCACTAGTTTGACTTTTGTCGCTGTTTTTTTCACGGCTATACAAAAACGGCTCCTATATGGGGTTTATTTAAGCCTATCAATCAACATCTTTGTAATTGACATCCGCTGTTACAGCATCATTTTCACAAACATTATTTAAAATCTGCTGTTCCAACAATTATAGCTCTTATTATTTTTCCTTTCGCTAGAAATACTGCAATAAGATGCAACCATATACCAGCTGCATGTTGTGCAAAATCGGAGATGAGCATGTTGTCAACACTTGTATGTCCTAAATTGATTTCTTTATGTGACTTCAATGTACTTCTGTTTTAAGAAGAGGGTAGTAATTTGTTTTAATGACATCTTACTGAAGAGACAGGAATAAGAGACAGGAATTGTACAAACCTCTTTGAAGAGATGAAAGTGCTAAAGATGTGTTGTCGATTTATTTTTCTTTTGAAATAATGTACAAACATATTAAATCTTAAGTTGTGCATCGATAAACCAACTTCATTGATAAAAGTGCTTGTCATTCTCTTCAATCGTCACTAAACATCTAAATAGAATTACGGTCAATATGTCCGATCTCTAGCGCCTTTTGGGGAGGCAAGATGACTATTGTTATGTTATGTCACCAGCATTGGTGTCTGGTAATCTTCAAAGAGCATATGACCTTAACATTTACAGAATAGATTACCTGATAAGATCTCATTACAATTTGTTTTCTTAAGTAAATACGTTCACGTGCGGCGCGTGCTTGACATGTACTTTACATGCTGATAGACATTGAGGCCCCCCATGGGGATTTGTCCAGATTAAGGTAAGTGGTTTGATATAATGGATGGGGATGATAGCGTTGGTAGAGACATATAATCTTAATAGAAAGTGCAGAAATGTTCATTACATATAAGCGATTGGATCTAAGCGTGTCCTTCGTGAACACTATGTTTTGGTGGTTGTAATTTAGTATATGTCAAGCCCGCGTCACGCTATTGTATCAAATTTGAGCTATCTGATACAGACTAGCAGAAAATCAAGAAACGTTCTGCCATACCGTTATGCATATTTATAAGAAGCGATGATACATAACAATCCTAAAAATCGTTTGTTGTTACATGGTCACTTACAGGAGTGACCAAAATCTGTCTGGTCAAATTTTATTTGTAGTGTGTCGTGCCCAGACTAATTGACCCGGGGGTTGCAGACGAAGTGTGATCGGCGTACCATATGGACAAAGCTAAATGGTCAACACATCGTGCAGACGAACGGATCGACGTATATATTTACCTAGATATGATATAACAGCAAGTGGGCACACTAATTGAAAATAAATGAAATCATGATATTTCTCATAAAGACCAATAGAGTATCATTGTCCCAAAATAGGTGGAATATAAATGGATTAATCTTCAGATCCTTTAGGAATTATATTTATCCTTCGGCACATATGGTTCATTGTCAGTCTAAATATGGCATATTTGTTATGGAGCCCAGCCCAAAATATGCTGGTGCTAATAAATTAAAACAGGTCTCCATTTCTTACTTCCAGCAAAATTGTATAAACAAATTAACATATTATTTTTTCACAATATGGAAACATATAAATCCCTCACCTAATTTTGCATTCTTTTGATAATTAGACAAACACGTATTTGAAGATTACAACCATGTATGTACAAGAATTTACGACATGTATAAAATTCATAATGATTTAATCCCCAAAGAAAATCGAACATGCTTCTATGCAATAAAGCTACCCCGATGTAACATACAAAACATATTTTGATATTGTTAAAATAGATGTAAGTTCATTTTAAAACATTTGACCCTGGTTACTTTGTTAGTTACGAAATACATTCTGATATATATCTGATGGAATTGTATTAATCACATGACGGGGAATAAAGTATCCGGTTTGGCTCACGCGCTCGAGTTGTCTCGATCATATTTTCCTCATTAAGACTTACATGCAGGAGTTATTCGCGTAATCAGAACATCGTACAAGTTTATGTTAAACAAAAGTTTTTATTTCTTGAGATTTTATGGATATACAATAATTGTTATTATTATGTTTTCAAGTAAGACGTTACGTGGTTAGGGTATACATGTTTCGTAGTTCAAAGCCTCCTGTTTTTTCTTAGCTATTTTGGCTGAAAACTTTGAGCAAGGAAATGTCTAAATACCCTCAAAATTAGCACATCGAATGTATGAACGTACAAATGTACATGTATGTAAAGCGTATATTCTAGGAGCTTAATCAAAGTTCTCATCCAGTTGTCCGATCCTCATGAAAACGAACAGCCAAACCTGATCTTTCATTATTAGTTTGAAGAGTAAATGACGTATTTTAAATATATCTCGGTCGTCAAGAAATGATATATCAATACACAAGCACTCAGATATCGTGACCTAAGGTTGGACATTATGGTCAGTATAGCTTACCCAATCTAGACTTTCCTTCTTTATCTGTTAATGGACGTAAAGGTATCCTTACCATTACCCTCTCTAAGACTATCCATATCTCGATAACTCTCACACACAGAAGATTGCGTGTTCGTCAGTGCAGCAAGCAATGGTACATGTAGCACTATCGAAGCGACCCGATACCTTTAACGTTCGTTTTATTAATAAGGTCATCTCTTTTCTATACAGTTTAAGTGCTATAAAAGCGACAAATGTTGAAAATGGTAAAAACATGTATCTCATGCATGCTATGTAAGTCTAACTACGTGAAATAATAGATGAAATTAACTATTTAAAAAATCCCCAGTCCTAACACTTTTTGAAGCAGTTAACGAAACTTACCTCAAATGTCTGAAGATCTCCTTGAATATATCCTGTAAAATATTTAAGACGAGTCAGCATTGCTGTTGGGGCCCAGCTTTGTGTGACTATGATGAAAATCTAGCATACTCTGCTGGAGTAGTCAACAATTTTGTTGTTTTCTTCTTTCTGATTGGTTTGCTGGGTCCGTTTAAAAGAGGAAGTAGATGGCGCGCAAAAGCTTTTGTTACGACATTGAAGATAGTGTATACCAATAAAATAACTCTTTTTGTGCATCAATAACATTTTTTTTTCAACAGATAAAGTTTAAGAAACCGAGAACACACAGGAAACCAATCAAAAACGGAACACAGCCGACGTGATCCAATCAGAAACGGAACACAGCCGACGTGATCCAATCAGAAAACAGACCTCTTATTCCAATATTTTTACGCCTGCCACTAACGCTGAAAAGTTGTACATCCTTTTTAATTTAGTAAAAAAAATGTTTTAGAAAATAAATCAGGTTGTTTATGTTCCCCAAGTAACGAAATGAGAATCTCACCTTATCTTGAAATGTGATGAAAATGTAATGAAATGAAAAAAGCATTCCGGGACGAAACCGCCGCGCGCAATCGTGCATCGTATTGATGATTCTCTTATAAACTGTTTAATCGCCGTTCGGTAAACTTTCATAAATTAAATTTAAGAACTTCTGAAAATTACTATGTGTATGTAGGATAGGTCCACGGACAGTTAACAAACTCCAGATCTCGCACCGCGGTACGTCCCTCAGCCGTTAAGGCGGTATATCGAGTTATCTTGGACAGCTCTCACGAGACGTAATATCGCGTATATCGAGTTAAATCCATCACTCTATGCCTGTGAGACCGGCTTAACATAATTATCAACCTGCCTAGATTTTGATTATACCAAACATGGTTTTAACATGGTTTACATAGGTTATTATGAGGGAAATGACATTGGTTTCATTCATGTCTTTAATAGACGCCCGCTTCTTTTCCATTGGCTACCAATTAGTAACATAACAAGTATGTTAACACATAAAACAGTTTTTTGTCTAGCTCCAGAAACAATAGGGAATTACATGTAAAACCTAATTAGAAGCACTGAAATAGACCATGCTTATTTCATTGTAAGCACCTCATTTTAATTTACGCTTAGCACAATATAGGGGGAAAAAAGAACGAAAAAACCCACCAGAATTCCAGAGGCATAACTCGGGAACCAATCCACTGTCAGTCCTACACATTTTGCTATCGAAGAGTTGTAAATGCATTGGTTCAAAATGAAAGATGAACATATAACAAAGGGAAGTAACTCTTAGCAAAAAAAGTCTTTTTAAGGATCCCTGTCCCATTGGATTGTGGTTTTTCGTATATACTGTAACCTCCCCTTATTTTTTTATTATTACTGTAGCACGGCTGGGCCCGACCACTTCCTATAAACTGGTGGCTTAGTCGGTTAGGGCAATAGTATAGCAATTTTAGGTTCAGGGTTCGAACCCCGGTCTAGCCCAACTGAATTTGTACACTCACAATGCTTCTGCTCAATAGGATTTATCTATTTCATTTTTATTTTATTTTCATAAACATCTCGCCAGGTATGGTTTTCTTTACAAAAATGATTTATCAAAGTCATGTTCAAATAATGTTGTTACAGTATTTGGCAGTGGTAAGGGAATCGTTAAGCTGCTATGTTTTCGTAAAGGTAGGTGAACATGCTGGAAATTGTAAGAAAAAGAACGAAACAGATTATCAGTTGCAACTCTTCGCGATCGCAATGTTTGCAGTGGTTCCCGTTATGTTGGAGCAAACTTATAGTTTCGAGGGTTCTTAAAAACCCCACCTGTGGCGTGATAAAGAAGAACGTAGTTATCGGTTAGAACTGCGTGTCTGTAAAGGTGGAAACAGAATGATCTTAGCTCTGAAGGCAATACATTCCAATCGACGGGTTCACAATCAAATGAATCCCAGCGTAATGTTTAAAAATCTAAGTCATTTGTTTACATTACGTCTGTGTAAATCCCAACAAATACATGGCTTTTATAGGTTTTAACTCGTCACAGTGTTGGCAGCACTATGTAAGCTTGTTATTGACGACAGCGGGGCTATCTGATTCAACTGGTGGCGAATACATCACTGTTAATGCCGGGAATCCAGATGACGACACAGCGTGCAATTATGACAGAATTTAATTTAATTTGAAAATCAGTCCTGGAACCACTGTGAAGTCGGAAAGTTTCAAATTACATTTGCGTTGAAGCATGGTTAATGCCTGTTATTTTGCCGTGCATTTTGCCAGGGGCTCCTATACGGACTCAGTAGAAACGAATTTGCCGACAATTACGTTGATATTTAAACATAGTAAAGCTGACTCTTTGACTTACCGGATCGTTGGAGGTGACATGGAGTTATTGGGTATATGATTATAGCACAGAACGCAGTTTTGATTAACGCGAAAGATTCACGCCCTTTGACAACTGGTATATCTCGGCGCCTCCTATATTTGATTAGTTTTTACTTTCTAGAGAACAACCATCAACTTTTAATTAGAACAGGTACTAGAACTAGTAGGTTTGGAGCGTAATATCTATGACATAATTCATCAAATCACGCATGGAGACAGGCAACCTGGAATCGGAGCGAAATCCGTTACACACGGCTAGGTTCCGTATGCATTAAGGCGGTCGTAACTAGCAGACACTTGGGTAAGATCAATGACATATAAATAAAACTTTACTGAAATATATGACATTAAATATCTCCATTTGTCAACTCCGAAGTCCATGTTTCTGATATAAAGATTATTTTCAAAATCCAAATAAGAAAATTTGGATTCAACGAAAGTGCTTTTTCTAGTGTTAGTACAAACGTCCCTCAGTCCCTTGCCTCCAACTTTTGAAATACAACTTATTCATCTCTTTTGTTTATATTGTCTTTTGGGGGAAGATTTCGAATGTCTTGATCTTTGCTCACATAGCAGTATCTTGTAACGCATATTCCACAGGCTAGACATGACGTCATGGACAATTAGATTAAATTAAAAGAGAAACGCTAATATTTTCTTCGAACAAAAAAAAACAACCTGTTCATGTGTCCGAATAAAATATCGTCGGCAAAGATCCTCAGACGTGCTGATGTACCATTGTAATTATTTATTCTAGAATGATGAACTCAGAATTTGCATAATTAGAAAAAAACTATACAAACATGCCAGCGTACCAATGTATATTAAAACCAAACAGAAGCCTGCGATCCATTAGTCTGAGAGGATACAGATTTACTCTATCTGACAGTATATTCCAAGAACAATACCAATGTGTATTACACACTCTGATGCCAATGTCTATTAAATGTCGCTTCATTTATTACAATGGACGCTAAAAACAGCACGTGGCCTAGGTGTTTCAATTTGCTGTAATCTATTTTTCTATCAAATATTGTATTTACCGTAACACTGATTGCTAGTCGCTATAAATAGCTTGAACTCGACATGAGCCCCGCTATTATGCCTAACTGCCTTGGACAGAGGTCGGAAGGACATCCGCGTGACCTTGACTACTGGAACAAGGCAAGACGTGACTAATTATAGAGCATCTTCGCTTAAGTATTCAACGGATTTCCTAACGTTCATGTCAGTACGGTTTCATATTAACTCAGTCAGCCCTGAAATTTCATAATGAACTATTCCAACCTTTGAATTGGAAGAGTTCAAATGTATCTTCAGGGTTGAATGAGTAAAATACTGGCATGAATGTTTTTTCATGTTTCTCAAACTGTGCAATACGTCTATTTACAGCTTAAAGAAAGTAATTAGTGATTTCGATATAACAATAACACGATATTTGCGGTGTATTTAAGTATATATGCATCAGCAGAGAGCACGATATTTTGGGACAGCCTTAGTCACCTCAATGTTTGCCTCTAATGAGGACAACACGTAATTCAAAGCGGGAAGAGAAGAGTACACATAATAGTCATATGAACGCAAATTTAAAACGGAGATAAAAATAAAAATTGTTAAAAAAAAAAAATGTCACTGATATGAAGGATTTTGAAAAATACCAGATACTGAAGGAGGACTGCTTACTGCAAAACTTATCCTTAACTGAACTTCAAAATAATGTCACCTGTCAGGCAAACAAACACAATAAGATCGCTTAGGTCTTAAAGGTCATGTTAACGGAACAAGGTCCTACAAAACAGAATATAGGTTTTATTGACTCAACAACGCAATAAGGTTCCTATAGGCGCACACGGTAGAAAATTGCTAAAAACATTAGATACATACCAAATAAACCACGTAATTTATCAATTTGATGAATACAACGAAAAGACAAAGGTTCAAGGTAAATAAACAGAAGGTGCAATAGACCAGGTTCGGTTTCTTCACGGTTCGAAATAATACCTGTAAAAATGCACATATAAGTCGGCGATCATGCAGTGGATACAGCAGGCATGTGGTTTTGAATCTGCATAATTCATTATCCGATATAAATGTCACTGTCAAACAACAATTAACGATATGAGATGTTAAAAGTTTTTTTAGTTTGTTTACTTAGAATAGTTTGGGACTTGCACTGTATTGATATATAGATACGATTTAAAACTAACCCGTTCGTGTAACAGGATACAGCTTAAACACAGCTAAATGTACAGCAAAGATACAGCAGTGTATGTCAACATATTGTGTGCTTTTGAGAGGCACTGTTTTGAGCTAATATGATCTCGTTGCGATTAACGGTCATTGTGTAGGTGTAAGGATTTCATAAGAAGTAAAACAGCAGCGTACTCCATTTTACGAACCAGGCGATCTGTCGGAGCGAACCGGATCCGACCGAAACGTTTCATTTGAGGGTACCAAATTGGTGGTCAGTGAAAATGTTTCACTTCAGACTTCTATATTGTTTCAACGTATAGCAGGTTAAACTATATTTAATCAGTCCTAAAAAATATTATTGGCTCCAATTAAATTCACATTTCGTAACACTTAAAAATGTATGTGGTAGCCTGCGTTGTTTCACAATTTTACACCGGAGCTGTTGAGGTTT